CCCGAATTAAACGGGATCGTGTATAGTTGATGCTAATAAGAGTTTATAAGTTATAATGTAGGTAATGATATATAGCTGGTTATAAATCGTAGCGCAATTTTACTTGCCCATGACTTAAATACATACGTTTTATTTAACTTTCATAACGAGATCGCGAAAGAAGGAGGAACGAAAGGGGGGAGTAATAGTGTCGCGTGGCTAGAGAGTATTTACCTTACGTTTACGTTTTATTTACCGTATTATTTTATACCGCATATTCCCGAGATATAACGAAACTTGTTACAAATAAAATGTAACATCATATTGAATCGTTATCTCTGATTAATGAATTTACGATTTGTCTGCGCATGAACACGAGGACAGCATAAAAATTGACTAAAATTATGTAGCATACGAGAAAATTGCAAGATACACGGTAATATATATAATTCGTGTGATTACAGAAATAACTATCGCTGATTTATGTCTACATAAAATTTCAATATTGAATACACTTCATGTAGAGATAAATCATTAGTCTTTGTTTTTTTTTTTTCGCTTGTAAAATACAATTTTTTTATGCGTAGATCTTTGTTCATTTTTTGTCAAAGAGAAATTGCATGCGCCATCGAAAATTCGTCAATGACAAAGAAGAAAAATAAATTGTCCGATAGTCAACGAAGATATGCGATTCAAAAGAAAAGTTTGTAAAAACATGTGTATAAAAAATGTATATTTTATTTTACTTATATAAACAAAATTGAGAAAGTTTCAATCCCATTTTACTCGTTGCATCGTAATGACAATCACATCTCTATTCTTCGCTCAGTATAGTTTCATCGCCAATTAATCCATGTTTTTCGATTTTTCGCAATTTCTATTCTATTTTTGTTTATTCGTAGAATTATCATTTAATTGTGACTTATCTCCAATTACTTGCTTAGAAATAATTTTGTATTTTTCATCATCGATAAACCAATCGTGATACTTCTCGACCAGTTTCTTTGTATGTTCTGCAAACACATAAACGTTGATTTAAATTATATTTTATCTGAATTATACAAATATACAAAGCCGATTCGATGATCAAATTGTCATATCAGCCGCAAACGTTGCGCGTGATGTTTTATTTTAATTAAATATTGCAATTCTAGATGCAGAAAGTTGAGCAATCTTTTATTGTTTAATAGAAACATTCTCTATTCTTCACTAACATAGTGTATCGCAATCGCCTAATCGTTTTGCTTATAATTATTGTAATTACCTGCTATTTCTTGGGCTGTACTATCGGTGCCACCATACTCGAGCGGTCGGATATCAGCCGGGATATCTTCGAAGCATTTATGCATCTTAGTTTCATTGGGTGTATAGACATGCAATCTTTGCTTCAACTTCTCGTTCATGAAATGCTTGAAAATCGATATACCTATGTGAACATACATCGGCGCGTTGATGTAATTAATCGATCGGAGTCTGATAGGATAGCAACCTTGCCATGCGTGAACTATATTCATCACGATGCGGGGATGCAATTGCTTCAAGTAACGCGCAGTCACGCCGTCCAAGTCTATGAACAACGTGATACCATACAAGGATAGTGGAACGTAAACCTTCGTTATCACATCCATAATCATTATACCGATCTGTGAAAAATGTTTTTCGTTAATTGAGAAACATACAGACACGAAACGAAAATATGGCTTCGATTTATTACGACGATACTCGCAGCCGTAAATTGGTTCAGGTGTCATAATAGTAACCATACCTTGACTAAGTCCAATAATTTTTGCACATCCGGATTCTGTTGTTTTTGGCGTATAATAAGCACCATTCTTCCCTGATTATCTAGCTTCCGTAAGAACAAAAATACCCTAAATGCAAACAAAATATTTCAAAATCCTTAGGACAAGATTATGAATCCGTTCAAGACAACGCGCTTTCTAACCTTGCGCAAAAGAAAATTTCTTCTTGAAAAGTAAACTTTGGCAAAGCAAGAATGTTATTGATCATTAAAAGAAGAAACTAAAAACTCTTGTGCTTTTTAATAAAAGTTTATATTAAGTGTCTTTTCGTTGTTTTTCGAATAATTATTAATAAAATAAAAAAAGAAATTAAAATAAAATTGATATCAAATTTATTAGAAAGTTTCTATTAGTCGTTTTTATTAATTTTTGAATAAAATCGATGTGATCATTTGTCAAAAGTTTGAAGATCCACAATAAGAGAGTCATCTTACTCGAGTGCTCCTAAGATGCATTATTTCCTTGATAACAATAATAAAGCAGAAAAAAGATCTCATTAAGAAATGCAAGATTAAAAATGCAGATTGTCTCGATGCATCTCTCTCATCCGGAAAGACTCATATGACATTTCCCCGCAAACTTCCGCACTCTAATAATTATACTCTTAGATAATTGTAGTGTTACCCCAGGTTAAGCAGCTCTTGCATTTCCGGCAGGAACGGATTTCTATTCGTGGACCATTCTGGTAGATCGTGCCGCTGCTGATAATAGTTTCGCATCCTGATCTTAGTTTTCTCAATATTAAATTTGCAGGTTCTCAAAAATTGCAGGATGAAGAAGTCATCTATGGACAAATTACGAGCTCTCTTTGGATAAAATACTATAATGGAAGCAGCATAAAATTTTAGGAGCAAACTTTATTTATTTCTTTTTCAAAAAAAAAATAAATAAATATATTTTATATGTCGAATGTTATTTGGATATTATGTTGTCTCTCTCTTTTTCTCATAACAAAATACAATTTATTATTTAATCATTTTATAACTTCTATTATATAATTTTATAATTTTATGTATTATGTATTTTATGTATTTTATCTATTATGTATTTTATAATTT